AGCATGGTGGGTGGTGGACAGCACAGGTGCCTTGGAGTCGGCGTGCTACCTGGCATGCATGCATATATGGTTGGGCAGTCGGTGATAGTGGCCCTGCAAGGGAATGGGGAGCCAGGATCTGTGCCCAGATGGACAGGAGCAAAGGAAACAGTGGTGGATGAAACCCACCATGCCCAGCAAGAGAAGGTTCTTCTTATGGAAGAGCCTGAGCCTGTGGGGTGTGCACCTCTAGTGTCTAGGAATGGGCAGCACAGTCAGCACTCAGGCATAGACTTTTGATAGTAAAGTGTAAAATACAAGATCTACCTGAGGTTACGTTAAAATACTGAGTCTGATTCACAGAACCAAAGAGAAAGACTTTTTTTTTTTTAATATGTATGGGTATTTGGCTTCCATGTTTATCTGTTAAACACTTATGTGCTTGGTGCCCAGAGAGGCCAGAAGAGGGTGTGAGATCTCCTGGGACTAGAGTTATAGACAATTATGAACTGCCATGTGGGTGCTGGGAACTGAACTTGGGACCTCTGGAAGTGCAGCCAGTGCTCTTAACCACTGAGCCATCTCTCCAGCCCCAGAAAAGACTTCTTTAAAAAATTTATTAACAACAAAAAGCAAACATCATACACAGAAATCAAACTAAAACTTCATCACACTCTATAGAAGATAACTGTACGTGTTCTCAAGATGCTTCATGGTTAACAAAGGAATTTTATAATAAACTTCTCTTTGTAATTAAGGAAATCGAATTGCATAAACAAATTAGGGGCTGAAGAGATGCCTCAGCAGTTAAGACCATTTACTACTCTTGCAGAGGACCCAGGTTCAATTCCCAATACCCACATAGTGGTTAATGGTCATGGATAACCTCAGTTCCAAGGGAACAAACGTCTTCTAACCTTTGCAGGGACTTCAGATATGTGATGCACAGACAGACAGACAGACAGACAGACAAAACACTCATACACGTAAAAATGAATAGCTGTTTACAAAGAGCCAGACACAGCAGCACACTCCTTTAATCCCAGCAGTCAGAAGGTAGAGGCAGACGGACCTCCTGGAGTTCAAAGCCAGCCTGGTCTATGTATTGAATGTCAGGCAAGTTACTGATGACCGAGTTTGATCTTTAGGATCCACACAATGCACGGAAAGAACCAGCTCCCAAAAGCTGTCCTCTGACCTCCACGTGGGCTCTATGGCAGCCCTCCAACAAATATGTAAATGTTCTTTTAAAAAATCTAGCCGGGCGGTGGTGGCGCACGCCTTTAATCCCAGCACTTGGGAGGCAGAGACAGGCGGATTTCTGAGTTCGAGAGTTCGAGGCTAGCCGGGTCTACAGAGTGAGTTCCAGGACAGCCAGGGCTACTCAGAGAAACCCTGTCTCGAAAAAAACCAAAAAAAAAAAAAAAAAAAATCTATGTGGGCTGGGAATAGCTTAGTCAGTACAGTGCTTGCTTAGCATGCAGAGTCCTGGACCCTCTCTCCTTCTGTACAGTATAAACAAGGTGTGCTGGCATATGCTTATAACCCTAGCACTTAAGACGTGGAGGCAGTATCAGAAAGGTAGATGGCTCAACTGGCAAAGTATGTATTACTTAAATATGATCACAGCATGAATGCAAAATAGAGCTTGGTACTCAGGAGGTGGAGACAGAAGGATCCTTGGAGTTCTTCCAGTATTGATCAGCTAGTCTTCGCTGAACTGGTGAACTCCAGAATCAGCAAGAGATCCTGTCTCAAAAAAATAAGGCGGAGGGCTGGCGAGATGGCTCAGTGGGTAGAGGGGCTTGCTGTACAAACTTGGCTATTTGAGTTCAATCCTCTAAACCCAAGAGAAGGTGGCAGAAAAAAATAGACAAGACAAAATTGTTCTTCATTAGCACATGCACATCATACACACAGACACACACAGACACACACAGACACACACACACACACACACACACTACAGCTCTATATCGAATTTGAGGCCAGCCTTGGATACATGCAACTTTGTCTTGGAAAAAAACAAGTTAACCAAACAAGAGAGAGGGGATAAACAAGCTGAAAGCCACACTCAAAGAACGTCAAAGAAACACAGTGTCACAACCCACTGGTGAGTTGACGCTTCACTTTATTACTATGTCACCAGAAGTCACCACCTTCACTTGGTCACCACAGATGGATGGATGTCATAGAGGAGGACGCCTCAGGGCCACTGGGTCCACTGGAGAGGCTTAACCAGGTAGGGGAGGGTCTAGAGCAGGGCCCAAGTTGGGGGCCGCCCTTCACCGCACACACGCACACACACACACACACACACAGATATATTGTGGAGCCTTATATTATACATCTTATATATAGAAAATATATATATTTATACTATACACAGGCAGTAACGCTGCGGGAGGGACCAGGGCACCCAGACAAGAGCTATGGGTACCAGGGGGCGGAAGTTATCAGGTCAGGGGTAGCACTGGGAGACAGCTAGCCCAGTTCATCCTCCATAAACTCTGGGGACTCCTGCTCATACTCTTTAGGGATCAAAGGATTTATGGGTCAAAGGTTAGAGGTGCCCCAGGGGTGACAAGTGGGAACTCTTGGTTACATGGGGAAAGCCTGGAACCCCAAGTCTTTGAAAATCAAGAATCATTAGGGACATATGGAGCAGAGACTGGTGCCAGTCCCCTGGAAGTTAGCCCCTTGATTGCTACATCTCAGATGGAGTGGGTGCCGCCCAGGCAAGATGGCCTGTGACTGTGCAGGATATATCATCTCAGAAGTCAGAAGATGGGGCTCCCAATCTCTCAACTCTGTGCGTGACCGTGGATGAAATATAATCCTCTCAAAGGATCCCTGCAGCTATAAACTCGGAACCCAAGTTCCCCAGACCTTCTTTTGTGCTTGACAGGGAAAAGGGAACCCCAGTTCCATAGGCTATGGAGGACCCTCTCCAAGGAGAATGTGGGAGGGAAGCAGAGGCTATAGAGGAGAAGGAAATCCAGGGTGCCACTGGCCTTGAGTCTTCCAAGGGCTATGCTATGTCTGTGGGGGTGTATCCCCTCCAAACTATTGAGTCAGAAGCCTCGGTCTTACTCAAATCCTGCTCAGGCCACTCCCCCACTGTCTGATATCTCTACCATGATGGTGGCATGCATGGGACAAGGGGATATGCTGAAGTCCCACCTCCTGGTCCTGTAAACTTCTCCAGCCCAAGGACCAGGAAGAGTCTATGACAGATGCCCAGGGTTAGGCAGAGTTTAACCAGCACCCTGCCCTCTGCCTGACATCACCCGCGGCCTGTTGCTGTCCGGGGAGAAACAGATGGTGGCAGTCCCTGGGTCTCTAGTGACCACAGGCAGGGAAGGGAAGGCTCTGGGTTGTGAGTAGCAAAGACCAGGACTTTTGAGGAGCTGTGGTGGCATAGCAACACTCCTGTAGCTAATCTCTCCTCTGGTCTGGTACCACTTAAGTCACTATCCACAATCTCCAAGTTAACCCTACTTAAGCCACCTGGTGGGGGTATGGGGCTGTACACAAAGCCCCTTCCCAGGTGTGGAAAACGGAAGTCAGCAACAGCCAGCTGTCACTCAGCCACCTGGGGCTATCTCCCAACACTGTAACCCCCTAGCAAACTTGGAGACCCCAATTTCTAATGCTAACTGTCTGTGTTCCTGGTTCTGGAAACTGCCTGAGGACTAGGAAGGGTCTATTTCTCTTTCTTGTTTCTCCTTCTGCTCAGGAGGAGCTTCGGTGCTCCTTCTAGGCCTCTGAAACTCCTGTCCCCTCCTTTATTCTTCCTCAGGCCTGCACTCACACCATGTTTCCCACTGTAATGGACCCAATGTCTGTATGTGCTTCATAGGCTCCTACAGGAAGGGACCACAGACACTCTGTGACATCACACCAACACGAGTACCAGAAGAGCAAATCTGCCTGGCAGAGTCCTGTAGGGCATAGTATGAGGCAGTGGGGACACTCAATTGTTAAAGGTGACCCACAGCCCACTGACCTGCTTCCCAGGAACCAGCTCGTGTATACTGGGCACACACAGGAGCATGGCACAGAAACCTCCCTCTGCATTCCCTCTGTCACAAGAAGGGAAGCATTTTGTATGAAAATGCCTCCTTGCTGTCCCCTTAGGCCCCACCTACTTTCCCTTCTGTCTTTGAGGCAACCCGCTATTCTCTTTCCTGTGGCTGGAAGTCTCTCTGCAGCATCTCACTCCTGCGTCGTTTGGGGTAGTGTGACCTGTGGCTGTGGCGCTCAAACTGATCCAGTAATTAATTGAAAGCTTCTCCCAGTGCTCCAGCCCTGAACCTTTGCTGACCCAAACAAGCAAAGAGAGGGCCTCCTGAGTCCCAGGTGATGTCGGAGGTGGAGCCACTTGCTGGGTGGGTGGAGCCAATAAACAGGCAGCAAGGTCGGTCATCTCTACTGCTCACTCACTGGGACCTTGGGTCAGTCTCCACTACCTCCTGTCTACCCAGCCCAGCCATGAGCAAAGGGCTCAGCAAGCCCTCTAAGAGGCAGGGATGGCCACCACTCCTTTGGGAGTTGCTGGCACACCCCAAAGGAGTTCCCCGGGGGACACGTTGAGCACAGAGCAACACAAAGGGACAAGGGTAGGTTGAAGAAGCCCTCTAGGAGAAGATCAAGACTGAGGGGATCTGCGTGAGGGAAGCAAGCGAAGCAGAAGAGGCCCTCCCTCGGTTTGAGGCAGATCACGGGGTCTCGCTGGACTCGCATCTTAAAATGCTGCCCTGCCCCCACCACCAACCCCCTTCATCAAATTCAAGTAACACTGAGTGGCAGATCCAAGTGTGCAAACAGGAAGTAGAGCAGGCTGGCAGGAGCTCTGTATCTGGCCCATCTCTATGTGGCCTCAGCAGCAGCCACTTCGACGACCTTGAACAAAGTGCCTTGACCCCCCAGACTTCAGTTTCTTCAACCATAAAATGGAGATAACCCTGGCAATCACAGGAGGACTGTTGTATATCAAGGATCTTGGGGATGACGGCTCACATCCTGTGATGGACCACACTCACCATATGACTGAGTCCCTTACAGGCAAACTTCCCAGTATCTGTCCCACCTTTCCTGCATCTGGAACAGGGCCTCCTCAGCCCACCTTCCCCCTCTCTATCTCTCACTCCCCAGCTGAGCAAGGCCTGGCACACAGCAGGTGCTCAGTGAATGCTCAAGGTCAGAATGGATGACTGTAACCCCAGGTCCCACCTCTAGACCCCTGCTGGGCACACACTTGCACACATATGTGGACACACCCCACCACTCCCCACCCCAGCTGCACTGGGCCTCAGTGGAGTCACTTGGAGGCTGAGCATGTGCTAGGCAGGGTCACCTGGGAGGGAGCAGGGTGCTTGGGAGGGGAGCTAGGATGGAAGGGCAGGGGCAGGGTAGGCGGTCACTGTCACCACCATCAGGGGGGCTTAGTAGCCCTGCGACTGGTAGCCCTGGGGCTCAGCATCAAAGGCGTTGGCTGGATGCTGGTAGGTGCCACCCATGCCAGCAGGGTCCGACCCAGCGCTGGGCTCCACGTAGGGTGCATAAGGCATGCTGGAGTCCTGGCTGGGATCCATGTAGTCCTGGGAGAAGAGGGCCGAGTCGGCGCCAATCTGGTACCGCTGGAAGGCCAGCACAGCCTGGCCCGCCTGGGATGGGAGCAGGCAGGGACAGGGACAGGTGAGAGAGATGGTTAAGGGAGAGACAGACAAGAGTATTGGGTTAGTAGAGGTTAGTTGACGGGATGCAGAGTTACAGATGTCAAAAGCACCAAGCTTGACTGAGGGCAAGGACTGTTCACACGGCCACCCCTCCCAAGGTCCAGGACCATATCAGCCATCTGTAAAGAGCCTCAGAAGTTACTTGTCCTATGTATCCCAAGACAAAAACCACCCGGCCCACAGACACACAGCCTGCTCCCAACTGTGTCCTCAGGGATGTTTTGTGAAACAGGAAAAAAGGTTCCCTAGGACAGAGAACTCTTCACAGCTTCTAAAAGCCATCTTTCTGTTTCTCTTGTAGCCAGGCAGTCATGTGACTAACTCCTAGCCAATGAGATACAGCCGTGTTCTTTGTCCCACTCCCTGACCTAATGCCTGGAAAGCAGGTGTGCTAGCTGGAGCTCCAGTTGCTAAAACACACTAGGGTGGGGGATGGGTAAGGGCTGGGGATGGAAGAAGCCTGTACAGCCACTGTGCAAGCCCTACACAATCTCTCCAGACTTGCAATTTGTTAGTATTTGGAATGGAAATCACTAGTCACTAAAAGCTAGTTCTAGCTGAAACACTTGGGACAAGTTTGGGGGACTCATCAGATCCTTGACTGTTCAATACACTCTGGGTCCTGTTTCTCTCAGCACACAGCCTGGGAAAGGTCTGTCTGCGGCCATGTACGGAGAAAAGACAAGGGTACTGATCTCAGGGGCTTAAGAGCACATCAGATCAGCTCTGTCATTCACAGAGAAAGCCTTCCCTACCCCTTGCCAGCCTATACTCCTAGATCATGGCTGGGAAGACGACGGCAGACAGGAGGGGGACCCATGGCAGAGTGCTGACATCTAGCCCCAAACATGGGGGCCCTGGCCTGTGACGGGCGGAGGAGTAGTCAGAGCTCTTCCGGGCTGGGGTCAAAGAGAAGAAAGCAAATAGAATGACTGCTTCAGAGGTATGGAGACCAGGCTCTCCCTTCACTCTCTGACTCCCTGATGCCTGCACAGAGGTAGGAAGGAGGCTAGAGCAGTGACTTCCCCAGACTCTTCCAGGGAGAGCGTGTGCGCCAGTTAGAACAGTGGTTCTCAACCTGTGGGTCGCGACCCCTTTGCAGGTTCACATTTTAAATATCTACAATATGATTCATAACAGTAGCAAAAATACAGTTATGAAGCAGCAAGAAAATAACTTTATGGCTGGGTCACCACAACATGAGGAACTGTACTGAAGGATCACAGCATTAGGAAGGTTGAGAAGCACTAATAATAGAGGCACTTACAACTGTGTCTGTGGCTCAGCTCCTGCCTGCCCTGTGTCAGTGCCTGCTGTAGTCAGGCAGTACAAGAGGCCACATACAGGAAAAGGGAAGGACCTGGCCCAGCAGAGCAGTAAGAGGGACGCTCAAGGACTCTGTTCTGAGACCTGCACTCGATGCGACATCTCATCGGGCAGCAGGCTGTCTGTACTTGCATGCCTCCGATGTCTGCATTCAGCTATAGCAAGGGCAAGGCAACGCTCTGGGGTTCACTTGTACTCACTGCATCCTCTACCGCTCCAGGGAGCACAAGCATAGGTCGGTGCTGCCCAGGATCTGGAAGCCAAGGTCTTTTGGCAGAACAAATATTTACTATAAGACCCATTCTCCAAGGAGGGCTTATGAAGATACACCTCGCTCAAGGAATGAATGAATGAATGAATGAATGAATGAATGAATGAATGAATGAATGAATGAACTGACATTTATTGAGCATCTCTGTGCCAAGCCCTGTGCTGGCCCTTGTTCAGTTTGCTCAGGTGCCTGAAGACGTTGATCCGTTATCAGTCAGGCTAGGAAAACTGACTAAGACTCAGGGTAGTGCAAGAATTTGCTCTCAGTCATAGCCCAAGCCACAGGTCCAACATTCCAGGCTAGCCCTCTGTAGGTAGTCAGTCCAGGGAAACAGTAAGCTGGTCCTTCCCACCACGATCATGAACAGGTTCATCACACTGTCCGAAGCTCAGCCCCTTCACGGAGTCACTTGAGACCTTTACCAGCCCACCCTACCTTGTGGAGGTTTGGCTATTGTTCCCTCCCCAGCCAATAGGCTCCTGGGGCCAAGGACCCGTCTAATCCACACAGGCACAAAACAGCTGCTCAATAAATGTTTACTGAGGGAACGATGCAAAGAGTAAACAAAGGAAGCAATACAGCCACAGCTGACTCCTCCAGCCAGCCTCATCCTGTCCTAGTGGTCAAACATCTCCAACACTGGGCCTTCCTGCAACTGGGCCCTGCTGAGGTGTAGACTCCCTGTCCTTCAGGGACTATGGTTGTGCTGAGGCAGGGAACAGTGTGTTGTATTCCTCCTGGAAGGTAAGGTCCTTGAATCTGCGTACGGCCAGGGCTGCAGTCAGGCTCTGCCAGAGAGAGCAGGGGTGAGGCCACTGAGGAGGCAGAAGGGCAGAGCTGCCTCAGAAAGGGCCAGCTGTAGGCAGCAGCACCAGGATACTGGGTGTTGGCCTTCAATACAATCCCTATGCTCCTGTCAGCTGCACTGTCTCAGCCAGAGGCAGGACTGGGGAAGTCCTACTTTTAGGGTACCTTCTTCCCAAATGAGATCCCCTGAGGCCACCTTGATCTTCCTGCCCTGTCCTGAAGATATCAAGAGCTGTGACCATGGCTGGCTTTTATGAACTGAACCACAGAACTCTAGCTCCCAATACTGGGGGGAGGGGTGAAGAGTGTCTCTGAAGATGGCTGTTGGGGTCCTCAAAAAGAAAAAGAAGTCTGGACTTGAGAGATGGCCTCTCTTCTAGAGATCCTGAGTTCAATCAATTCTCAGCAACCACATGGTGGCTCACAATCATCTGTAATGGGATCTGATGCCCTCTTTTGGTGTGTCTGAAGACAGTGACAGTGCATTCATATACATAAAATAAACAAATAAATCTTTCGAGTCACCCAGGGAGAGTGGGGAGAGGTAAGACTGACTGTATGCAGCACAAGGAGTTCCTATAAGAACATGGAACTTACAACGGACTAACAGAAGGGAGGGGGGGGGGAGTCCTGTTGACACCCTAACCTCTCTCAACAGAAGGGGCCGGCATTGCTGTGGCACGTGGAGCACTTGGGCTAGCCTGCACTGAGAAGGCCAGGCTCCAGCATGCCGGACCCTAGGTAACACTTTCCTCCATATTTTGTTTTTTTTGTTTGTTTGTTTTTTGAGACAGGGTTTCCTTTTGTAGCCCTGGAACTCATTCTATAGACCAGGCTGGCCTCAAACTCAGAGATCTGCCAGCCTCTGTCTCCCAGTGTTGAGATTAAAGGCGAAAGCCAGCATGCTGGACCTAAAAATAAAATTCCTTAAAAAGACAAAAAATAAATGAGAGCACTGCAAAGTGACTGAGCCCAGGTTCCCTTGTTTGGAAAGTGGAGCCAATAGGAAGCTTTCTCCTGGAGTGGGGAGACCCCAAGAGTGAAGAGTCGGAGTGGGGAGACCCCACGACTGAAGAGTCCGTCCGTGGAAGGGAAGCAGCAAAGGCATGGTGTGTGCTCAGAGAACAAGGCAGGAGGCTCATGAGTTCGAGACCCAACTGGGCTACAGTGTGATGCTCAAGCCACACCCTTAGGAAAGCTGTTCCACAAGGCAGAGGGCTGCCTTGCTCATGGAGGCTGCAGGTGACCCTGGAGCAAAGTTCCCTCCGGGAAGCAGGGCCCAGTCCATCTACTCAACAATGGGACACAGCCTGGGGTTTGGCTGGCACAAGTGGACTCTGTGGGACCCGTACTCACCCATGTGAAAATGGAGAAGAAGGAGAAGGCGATGGCAGCGCGGGCTGCGTCCGTCCCTTCGTTCAGAGGGTTGTCCTTGGGCTTGGAGACTTGCCACTGGTTGGCCAGGAAGCAGAAACCCACGAACCAGAAGAAGGCCCAGAAGGCTGGGGTGCCCAGGGCCAGGCCGGATATCAGTGACACACAAAGAGAAGGGGGGGGAACAGGGCACCAAAAAACAGGGGACAGTTCAAGGGCGTGTTCCCATGCTCCCTGCCCCCCAAATAATGAGCTAGGGGTTGGAGTAGAGAGGGACCCAGGAAAAGGCACAGGTTGGGAATGACACAGAGCTGGGGTGGGGGAGACCACAGAGAGGGCAGGTCGAGCCAACTCACAGGGCCAGGACTACAGAGAGGAAGATACAGAAGGGAGGAGGCAGCCATATCTGGGGCATCTCTAAATGGCTGCCACCTCCCTGGCATGGTCTGGAAGGCCAGCGGCTAATGCATGGGGCAGCATGTAGTGACCCTGCTCAGACTTCTAGAGAACTTGGGGTAAGGGACAAGTGAGACAGGACAATAGTGGCTGCATGACCCAGGGCCTGGACCTCCACATCTGATATGTGTGCAGCTTCCAGAAGCCACCCTAAATAGAGCCCCTTTGAAGCTGAGCTGTGTAGGCTAGAGGGCCAAGATTTTCTGTGGGTGCCCATGGTCTACCAGAGCTGTCCAGGATAGAGTGGGCATGTACCAGCCTGCCCCTAAGTGGACCTTCTGGGGACATTCATTTAGTCCTAGCTCTTTCTAGAAGGTCAAAGGGACCCCAGGCCTTGAAGCAGGGGCCCTCAGTCCTACTCACGCCCAGGCTGATTCTGGGACTCCAAAGGGTGGCGGTCCTTCCCAGGGAGGGGTACAGAAGAGCCCCCCCCCCCCCCCTTCCCCAACCACGGCCTCTAGTCAGTCACGTCACTACCTACACTTCAGGGGAGGGCGGAGGAGAGAGCTGTTAAGGGGTACCCCCAAAGCAGGCTCACCCGAGACACCGATGTCAGACAGCACGGCCTTTTTGCGGTCCTTGACACTGCTGATCTGTGGGAAGTACACGTCCAGCGCCAGGTAGAGCAGGCAGGTGAGGAAGGCCAACACGCCCACAGTCACGCCATAGCTGCAGGCATTGGGGTTGCGGTTGTAGATGCAGAACTCCTCCTCCTCCTCCGGGTTGTTGAGGTAGCCCTCATTCACGATGGAGCCGAAGACCACAATGGAGAAGACCTGCAAGGAGAGGAACGGGTGTGAGCAATGCTCCAAGATCCGCCGTGAACACAAGGCAGGTAGGTATGAAGCAGAAGGCCCAGAGAGGGAGGGCGACTTGCTTGAGGTCACACAGCCCAGGTAACATCAACCACTTCCTAACGCTGCTGCAAGGGCTTAAGGGCATCTGAGGTCACTTGCAGCCCCTCCTACCACCTGACACCAAGGGTCCCAAGGCTGGCGTGGAACACAGGTCCAATCCCCTGTCCTCCAAGTCAACTTCTACAGTTCCCAATACCTGCCCATACTGCTCCATACTGTGTTCCTTCTGAATGGCCTAGGCTGTTCTGGTCTGGTGTCTCAGCCCACAAGTCCTGGTCCTACCCCAAGGAAATGAAGTGACAAACCAAAAACTCGTAGCAATAACAATCCTGCCTAGTGCATCCCATGAGCCACTATGTAAGTCACAGCCAACCCTGTTCACTTCAGCTGTTTGGGCAGCTTGCTCAGGCTATAATGACCCTGCCTCCTGCTGGTCACACCCCGCAGTGGCTGGAACTAGTGATCTGCTTCTAAAAGACAACGGGGTTAAAAACGTGTCTGGGTGGTGGTGGCACACACCTTTAATCCGAGCACCTGTGAGGCCAAGCCAGACAGAGCTCTGAGTTTGAGGCCAGCCTGGCCTACAGCGTGAGTTCTAAGACAGCCAGAGCTACACAGTGAAACTCTGTCTCAGGAAAAACAAAACAAAAAAACTGACTGGACTCATGAGGCCCCATCCTTTTTCTGAGGTGCTATAGGTGGCCAGTGGTTGCTAGGGGAAGAGCAGCCATCCTCCTCATCGTGCAGGGCTGGTGAACTGTGCTTGCCAAGGAAATAAGCCCCCACTGTGCTCATGCAAGCAACTTTAAATGCAAAGACACAAGGCTGGAGAGATGGCTCAGGGGTTAAGAGCTTGCTACTCTTCCAGAGGACATGGGTATGGTTTCCATCTGGAATTCCAGCTCCAGGGGACCTGACGCCCTCTTCTGGCATCTGTGGGCACTACACTCGCGCAGTATAGCCACAATGTGCACATACACAAATAAAATATAAATAATCAAAGACAGGAAGGTAAGAGCTTGTTGGGAACAGGGGGGTTCGAGAGAAAGGAGAGGAAGGAATAACTGGGAGAAATACAGTCAAAGAACATTCTGTAAGTATGACATCATGAAAGAGACGAGGGATTGCTTCTGGCTCCCACTCTCTCACTCTCTGGTCTCCTGTCCCTGCCTGCTCTACTGGAAGCCAACTGCTGTGTTTCTATGGTGTGCTGCACCATAGAAACCCATACAGCAAGGAGCAGAAAGAAGCCTCTGGCCGGCTCTGAATGGAGCTGAGGGCCTCCATCGGCAGCCAATGGAATGGGGGTGGGCTGAAACCCAAGAGTACCATTTTAGCAAGCTTGAAAGTGATGTGTCCAGAGTAGAGCCATCACGTGAGACCACAGAGACCTGGAGGCAATGGCGCCCACCTAAGCAGATTCCTGACCTACAACAAGTCAGATGACACGTGACAGCTGTTTGGAGGCCATGAGTTTGGGGGCAATTTATTACGTGGTAATGACTAACTAATATATCAGTATCATCAGCACTCTGTAGATGAGGTGCTGGTGTTAAAGTGCCTGAAGTCGCACAACTGGTAGGTGACAGAAATGAAGTCCAAACCCAGGGACCTGCCTGTCACCTTCATACTTCCTCCTTGGACGGGGAAAAGTCAAATCTCAGAAAGACTGCAAAAGGCTTGCGTGGCCTGAGGTGAGCTGGACGCGGAAGCTGGAGGAACCGCTGTTGTCCGTTCTCACGTGCCGTTGCTTTGTATCTGTGTGTGTGCGCGCACACATATGTGCACACGTGTATGTGTAGGCCAGAAGTCAGCGTCGGGTCTTCCTCTTGTACTCTCTACCTTACTCTTTGTTTTTTGTTTTGGTTTTGGTTTTTCGAGACAGGGTTTCTCTGTGTAGTCCTGGCTGTACTGGAACTCACTCTGTAGACCAGGCTGGCCTCGAACTCAGAAATCCACCTGCCTCTGCCTCCCAAGTGCTGGGATTAAAGGCGTGCGCCACCACCACCCGGCCTCTCTACCTTACTCTTAGAGAGAAGATCTCTCACTAAACTTGGAGCACATGCATTCAGTTAGACCGTCTAGCTGGTGAGCCCCAGAGATCCTCGTGTCTCCCCACTATTACTACAGACTCAAGCCACTGTGCCCAACTCTCAGATGAATATTGGGGATTGAACTCAGGTCCTCATGCCTGCAGAGCAAAAACTTACCAACTGAGACATCTCCTCAGCAACTGCTTTCCACTCACTTAAAAATGTATTTTATGTGCAGGGATATTTGCCTGTGCACCACAGTGTGCAGTGCGCACAGAGGCCAGAAGAGGGCGTCAGATCTCCCTGTGAGCCACCATGTGGGTGCTGAGAGTGGAACCTTTGCCCTCTGGAAGAGCATCTAGTGTTCTTAACTGATGGCCCCCTTTTTTCATCTTGCTATAAAGAACTGTCACAGTATCAGTCAGGCATGCTGTCTGCCACAGCTGACACCCAGGAGAATGAAGGAAATGGGGATACAGACAATGAGGGAAATCCAAGAACCATTCACACTGCTTTCTTGTCTTCTTATGTGTCATATGACAGTGGTCCGATTTAGCTCTGGCCTCGTGACTGCCTCCTGACATCCCTGAGGCCTCAGTGCCTGTGATGTTTGAACTCTATTTAAGTGCCTGCACTTTACGTGATGCTGAAGGGTGCAGAGCAGCAATAGACAGAAGCCAGGTACATGCACTCTGAGGATTTATGCAAGCTTTCCCTGAGGAAAAATGACAACGAGTTTGAGACCACAGGTTCAAGACAGGGAAGGAAGATTATGCCCTAAATCTGCATCGATGGAGGAATGAAAGCAAAGCCCACGGCCCTTTACAAGGTGGATTCTGACTTAGTCGTTGAAGGGAAGAACTGAAATAAGCAATGAAACCAGACACAAGGGCTGGGTGGGGAGTGTACAGGCAGAGACCTGTTTAGCACGCATGACATCCTGAGTTTTATCCCTGGTGCCCAAAACTAAAACTAAAACTCAGTCTAGACACAAGGTCACATAGTATGTGTGGTTTTTTTTTTTTTTCTTTCTTTCTCCTTTCCTTCTGGCAGGTCTTGCTCACTATGTAGCCCAGGCTGGCCTAGAACTCGAAATGTAAAGCAGACTAACCTTGAACTTAAAGATACCCACTTGCCTCTGCCTCCAGTGCCGATTAAAGGCATGTGCCACCACGCCACATACTTGACGTGATTTCTTCTATCAGCTGTTTCCATCACAGGCAAAAGAGCAGCAGAGCAGAGCAGAAGGCAGGGGTAAGAGTGATCTTCTGCCGGGCAGTGGTGGCGCACGCCTTTAATCCCAGCACTCGGGAGGCAGAGGCAGGTAGATTTCTGAGTTCGAGGACAGCCTGGTCTACAGAGTGAGTTCCAGGACAGCCAGGGCTACGCAGAGAAACCTTGTCTGAAAAGACAAAAAGAAACAAACAAAACAAAAAACAAACAAACAAACAAAGGTGGGAGGAGAGAAACAGCTTTGCAAAATTGTCTTTTGACTTCCACCTATGCACTTTGGCACACTTGTGCACGCACACATACACACACAGGTGTAGTTCATTGGTAGGTCAGGTGCTAATCATTCTGGCTCTTCAAAACAATACCAGCTTCTCTGCATGGGGAGGTCTGCACCCCAGAGCAGGGCATGCCTCACAGGAGTAAGGTCTTTTCAGGTTGCTTTCCTTCCCTGGAGGCTAGGGGCAAGAAGGAACAGTGCCAGAGTACTCTCTTTAGCAACACTGCTTAGGAGGTGCATACTTCCTATGGCCAGAAAATACACTACTGCTGCAGGTGCTAAAATAAGAGTGGGCCCCTCTTCTCAAAAGCAAGGAAAATGGCCTCCTTAAAGGCTGGGAGAAGAAGCAGACAGGCGGAAACCTGGGCCTTGGGGAAAGCTGAGGAGGAACCATTAAAACCGGGTCTCTGGAGTAAGCCAAGCAGGGAGTCCTTGGAGAAGCCAAGAAAAATGTGTTGGAGACATGTGTCCCCAGGAGGGTGAGGAACAAGATCAAAACACTCTCAGAAGAACAGAAATAGAAGACCCGTGGCCCCACAGCGGCAGCAGCAGGCTCTGCCTCTGATCAGGCACTCACCACAGGTTGTAGGCATCTTGGCACCTGGAACCTGGCAGAAACAGGCATGGAGTGCAGTAAGACCTTCCTGAGGGGAGTGACATGTGAGGTACAAGTCTGGTCTGAGAACCTGTGCCTAGCCTTGGGTCTTTAGCTATGCAATTTTACCTGTCTGAACCCAAACTCAAAGGGAACAAACAGCCCAGGGCTCTTGATGTACTTTGAAAAATGATCACAAGCCAGGCCCATGCGGGGATGACCCAAGTGAGCACCAGAGAGATGTTGGACTGATGTATAACAAGGGGAATGGATGCTTAGGCTGACAGCAGGAAGGTCAAGAGGATGCATCAGTGGGTCCTGAGGGTCCAGTGGGATGCATCAGGAAGGGTCCTGAGGTCAGGTCCTTTGAGATGGGCTAAGAAGCCAGCCCTGCTGGGATCTGAGGCACACATAATCCAGGCAGAGGAATGGAAGCAGAGAGGCTGGCTGTGGACCAAGGATACAGTGGAGGTGTGGGAGAATGGCTGAAGCCATCATTAGAGGTCAGCGAGACACAGGCTGAAGGACTGTGGGGTGGCCATTGTCTTCAGGTGCAACAAGCACAGGATTCTGAACGAGCTGGGTAACAGCCTGGCTCTGAGTCACAGAACCCTTCTCACTGGTCCTGTTACCTACAATGTGTCATCACTCTACAGTTGGAAGGTCACTTCTGGGGTTCCTCTCTACTGTCTGGATACATTCTGGGTTTCTAGATATAGAGGCCATCTGGGTGCCCACTCCATTCACTTAGGGGCTCCCATTCAGCTACGAGCTTCCTGCC